ATGAAAAGAACTTACTTTAATTTCATGCAGTTTGACTTCTCGATTTATAGCTTAATAAGTTTATCAGTTTTCAAAGTATATATATTTGAATAAAAACCTACGAGTTAAAAGTCATGAACTAATTTTAACTTGCTAAATACATCAGTTTGATGTATGATCCAATGGACACATAAAATACATTCCAAGCATTACACATCTACATAATTATTAATTGTTTTAATACAAACATTTGTTAACTCCCAAAGGAATTAACTAATTTCAAACCTTCTTACAATCAATGTGTTATTTCGTTTAGACTCAAAAATAGAAATTCTAAGTGTCACGATTTTTAAAAAAAAATGTTTTAAAGAAATATAAAACACGAATAAAAATTTTTGATAGTGAAGTAGATATTAATTTCATACAAAATCAAAGTAAATGCAAACAAAAAAAAATTTATTTTTATTATTCGTTTTAAGATTATTTTTCAGTATTTCCACTTGTTTTTCCTAACGTCAATATTTTAAATACAATATCATTATAACACATGTTTGTCGAATTTTAAGATATTACATTTAGACTTGATCTATTTATGCCGATTCTATAATAAATCTTCAACATATATAGATTTTTGTCAACCCTTCCCATGTAGCATTTTCGAATTCAATATTTCTATGACAACAGTGATTCTGTTTAACTTTGGAAACTGCAGGTTTTAGGACCAAGGATTTTTATATTTCTGGGTTCTTTCTTTACAAAAAGCTAGTCCCTATTTAATATATATACTTCCTACCTTTTTCAGTTTTCAGGGTGCATAGCCAAATTTATCAACAAAACGTAAACACCTTTTGTCACTTCAAAATTACAACTGGATAAATTTGAATTTAAAAAACTTATTGGGTGAAAGTTTTAGATTTAAATAAAAATTATTTATAAATGTATCGAAACAAAAACATTTACAGAATTAATATTATTAAACACGTTGAACTGATAAAGATCTTAAGAATTCATATTACAATAGAATACATATTACAAAAATCTTTCCCAATAAATCCAGTACAGTGTATATGCGAGTAATTAATTCCTTATGTAAAATGATTGGCTCTTTCATATATGTACGACGGTATATACATTTAACAGAACATTGTGAAAACCAAGCTTTTTATATATTTATGGTGACAGTGTAACAAAAAAAAAATATCTTTTCTACGTAAAAAGCCCTTTCAGAGCTTTTAAAAAAAATAAGCACTTTTTAAAAATGCTACGCACCCTGTCCATCCTTCAATCAATATGCACATTCGAAATTCTTCCATTGGTAGAAAGGAAAATTATTTCAAAACAAGATGAGTTTTAGACAATTATGGCTTTTTAATTAGGACAGATCAAACACCTGCAACAAGTTAAAGTGCCAAAAGCTACAATGTAATTTGATACGATAGAAAAAGAGATCAATAAGAAAATGATTTTTGTTCATATTTATTAAAAGTTTGATTATAATTTTGCATACATATATCTGTTGGTACGCTATTTTATTTCCGTGTGTCAAAGGACATACATACATCTGCTGGTACGCTATTTTTATTTCCGTGTTAGGGAACTACGTTTCTCAAAGGACATACATACATCTGCTGGTACACTATTTTGTTTTCGTGTTAGGGAATTACGTGTCTCAAAGGACGCATCATGACTTATTCTTAGAGTTCCCTCAATAATTTTTAGCAAATTTTATGCATTATAACCCTTATTTTAGTAAAACCTTGACACACTCTATTCAAAGGGGGGGGGGGAAGCATCGAACTATACACATTAATAGACAAATAAGTGAAAATTATTTACTAACTACTATTATAAACATTTATGCTTTTTTACATAAAAAATTGTCTAATGTGTCAAAAAAAAATATTCAATGGAAAGTAAAACAGAAATAATTTTTATCCCCCAGAATGTTGAGTTCAGGCTTCTTAAGCATTGAGGGAGCTTGGACCACTCAGTCTCTCCCTATTGTGACGATCATGTATGCATTGCAATATGACAATGCTGTTTGACAAAAACAAAATGCTTCCACGAGTCTTCGTGAAAACTAATCTGAAGAAATCGGAAACTCATAGTTAAGAGATATCTTTGTGTGAACTTTTTCTTTTTAAAAAAAAAAAGAAAGAAAGAAACATTCCACAGAATTGCTGAACTCCTTTTATACACCCCTAGGAATTATAAAAACATTGAATTTTCAACATAATTTCAATATGAGTTTAATCAAAGTTAGAAAGAGTGATCACATTGCATTTAGAAAAATAGTATTGAGAAAGGACAGACTTATTTAAAATTAGTTGGGATAATAATATTGTTTGGAGTCAATTTAAATATTAATTAGTGATATTTAAAGGCGATATATGTATACAGCTGAGCCTTGATGGTCTTAAGTACCAAGGTTATTTTCCTACACCTCTTCGTGGAATTAAACTCAGTGATCTTACAAAGCTAGCTGTATCAATTGATTGTGAGCTAGACAGAACATAGTTTCCCTCAATGTTCTACACCTAGTTGATTTGCTGGGACCTGGTGGATAATCATAGATTATAATAGTTTGGTTAATTTCTTTGTGATAAAGTCTTAGCAATCAATTCGATTGCACTTTCTCTGATAGTGTCTTAAGAAACTTAGTTGTTACCCACAGCAGTTTCAGAATTGAAATAGTCCAAGCATTTTGATGAGCTTGACAAGAAGGCTGTGTGATTGCTACTACCACTGCTTACAGATCACATGGTGGTGAGGAAAAGATTATAGTCTCGGTACATGCACCAAGTTTGCATGACAACCAAGCAGTTGCACCTGAGAAACTTTTAAAATTTAAGTGTTAATGTTTGTTATTTTAAAGTTTGAATCTAATGCAAAACTTGATTCTTATTTTAAAATTTTAGAAGTCATAAAAGTTTGAATAAACTTTAATGAAAAATGTTCTGAACAGAACATTTTTCAAATTCCACTAAAATTTTTAAATTGGAAATAATTAAAACAACTTCATTGGAGTCATCATTTGAAAAAATTTCCTAGTTAGAAGAGCTTGAGATAATTTAAAACAGATTAACATTTTAATTAATTTATCTAACAAACTATTTTTAAAATTGTACATTTTGTAACCATTTTAAATGTTTTAATAGTTCACTGCATTCCTGAATAAATGCTTCCAATTAATGTATTATCAAAAACAACTGCGAAGTTTATATGCATTATGTTTAAAATTGAGAATAATAGCACATTGACACATTTTGTTAGTTCTAATAAAATTTAATGTCAATCCAATACAAGATTAACAGTTTAATAACAAAATTTTATGACACTTAAACACTCAAATATTTTAATCAATTATTGGTATTTTTCCCCCTTCAGATTTTAATTCTAAAGAAAAAACAAATATCTTACAAGAGAGTATTATAAAAAAAAATTCAGGTCAAGTTATTTGGCTTTTACAAATTATGAATGTTTAAATTTTAAAACAAGTAAATTACAAATAAACTAAATTTGCAAAAAAAAATTCAAACATCCACTGCGAAACTGATATAAAATTAATAGTTAAGAGAATTATGTCATACATTGTTTAATTATTTTTCAAATCAAAATATGTAAAATCAAACGATTCCTAACTACTTTATACAAAGTTAAAGAACCTGATATGTAATATAAATAAAGCTAAACAATAATCCATACTTAGAATATGACAAGATAACTATGCATGATACATGAACTAATTAATGTGACATTAAGTTGAAATATAAGTCATGAAATACAATAAAATATAATTTTAACTTCAGTAGAGCGCCGATTATCCGAACCATGTTCGAATTCGTTTTTTTTTTTTTAAGTTTAGAATACTTTTTAACTTATCGACAATTTTTCTAAAATTAGAAGAATAAATAATATCCACAACATCTGAAGACCATATTTAATTTACAACCTTTTTTAGCAGTTTTCATATAGTAGCCAATACATACATGTATTGTTATACAGTTAAACCTACATATCCCTTTAGCCCTCTTCAACTGAAAATTATCTTCTAAAAATGTGAACTTTGATTTGACAGTCTACAATGGTTGAAATGACAAAGGAACTTATGAAAAGATGTGTGCTGAAGTTCTACAATCGGGGGATGAGTACTTGTCATTTATGGTTAATGATTACAGTGCTTGGAATCTTAAATCTTGGAATAAAATTCTTAACAAAAAAATAAAAGAAACTGAAGTTTCCGAATCAGTAGATCTTCCCGATGAAAAGATGGCAGGATATACAGCAGAAGAAATCATAGACTGGTGTCCAGACACTGAACATGACCCAGGATTTCTAATTTTAAATGATGATGAAATTTTGAATAAAAATCGGAACTCCACAGACGAAGAAGTAGGTGATCAAATTCAAGATAGTGGACTTTTTTATATAGAAGCATGCAATTCATTAGATATTGCAATGAATTGGCTAAAACGTCAAAATGATGTTGATCCAGTTCAGTTGATTTATTTAAGAATAAGGGATATGGCTGCTCAAAAAAGATCATCTTTTTTGAAACAATAGTCATTGCTTTATTTCTGTTGCAATGAAAAATAAAGAAAAATGTGGTAAAATCAGTAATTGATAAAAACAAAATTATAAAAAGCTGAAATATGATAAAAATAATTCAAAATGAAAAAAAAAAGTTCAAAAATAATAAATAAAAAATATTTATATATGGTAAAAAGAAAAATTTTAAACACGCCAGAGCTATTTTAGACAGTACTGCCAGTCCTAAGCCTAGAAAAAGTGCGAAGGGAATTTAGTGCATAAATAATAATCATTTAAACTAGATTTTAAACAACTTTCCAATTATCCGAACTACATTCGGTCCCGAGCTGTTCGGATAATCGGCGCTCTACTGTATTTCAAAATTTTCTATTTTAAGGCTTCAAAATTTTCTTTTAATAGTATTCACAGTTATTTGCTCCCTAAACCACATATTTAAGATAAGAAGTAAAAAAAATTAATTTAAGTACACATTACCAAACAAAAACTTTTATTCTGTTCAAATTGATGCTTATGACAATAGTTACATTTTCTAAACTAGAAACATAACTTAAATAAAAACCATTAAAGTATTATAGCTGTATCTTAAACAAAAAATTTTTTGAATGTTTACAAACAAAATATAAACAAGCTAATCTTTATACAATATTTTTAGAAACATTGAAATAATTACAGGTGCTAAAGATGCCCTCAAAATGTATAGAATAGACAAGGTAAATGTGTTGTAACAATTGGGGTACCTCAGTATGCTGTCACTTTAAAAGTCATAGATGAAATGATGAAGGATTTGACAATGAAGTTAAAGAATTACAATATTTTCACAAAAAAAAACTGAGTGATATAACAAATGACATAAGTTGAATGCACCACACACAATGATGTACCTTCACTAGTCCAACAAAGATGAAAGTTAATTATAAAACTATTCAACCTTGAGACATATATACCCCTAGTTGGGCATCAAGACTGCTTTTTGTTTCAGCCATGTATTCATCAAGCTGATTGTCCAATTCCTGCTTAGTAGGTAAGCCTGCACTAGTGTTCCTATTCCATCTACCTCCAAAACTACCTCTTCCACGGCCTCGTCCGCGACCACGGGGATTTCTTTGATTGCTGTTTCTATTGATTTGATTCCGAACTCCATTATTGCGATTTCCACCTCGAAAACTGCCTCTTCTGTTACGGGCTCTTCCACGTTGATTCCCATTGGCATTAAATCCTTGCCTTGCAACTCCTAACCTAGCTTTAATAAGAGGCGAAGTACCAGGTCTGAATGCACCACGTCCTCCTCGTCCACCTAACCTACCTCTTAAAGGTGTGCCAGCGAAGATGCGCTTAGCACTAAGATTTAATCGAGATTTGATATTGGAGTAGGGCTGTTTGAGACCAAGCCTTTGTTGTAAACTTCGTTTCTTTAGACGAAGAGCAGCAATTACCGTTGGTCTGTTAGCCATCTGTTGTGCTAACCTCAAATTTGCTGAACTGGCTTGCCTCTGCATTTGAATTTTCTGTCGATAGGAATTAGCCACAGTCTGGGCTTCAGCGCGATAGGCAGTAAACCTTTCATTCAATGACATTTTCGTTGTGTTTTTTAAAACAATTTTATTAACTAATGAAGCCGCCATTATGAAAAAGAAGTCAAATTTCAGCTAAATAAACATAAATTCCGTACCTGTTTCAATTTTTCATGTTTTCACTTAACTTATGGCTACTAAAGATGGTGTTGCCATACGACCATAATAGTTAGGAAATTAATTTCGCAGCGTGAAAAAGTGCGCACTGTCTTGAATGCCCGCCTATTTTATAACCCTAGACTTTGGCGATCAGCTGAAATTGGTGATTGCCAAACTAATTCTATCGCCAAGAGCTTGGATGCCCGATTTTTTTTGAGCGTGGTGAAAATGGCGAATGCGTTTTATAGCTCTCCATCTCCATAATGTAAGCAATTGTTAAGAATATCTTTTCATGAACTAATAAGATAGGTAAATTCCTATCCTTTAAAATCTCGTTCACCAGCCCAGTGTATCTTTATGTCTTACGTTGAA